TCCTGGGTTTAGGGGCAGGGCCTAAAACCCCATGGAGGAAAACGCCCAGGGACTGGATGTCCAGAATCCAAACATGCTGAAGGTGCTCCAGGGACCATGGAGGTGCCACCTGAGGGACAATGTCCCCAGAAAAGCACCCACAACCAAAGCTCAAATCCTGGGAAAGGAGAACTGCAGGAGCAAACCCTCCCAATCTCTTGTTTGGAATAAACCCACCCAGATTTGCAGCTGGAGAAGGGATTTCTGTGCACACCCCATTTCTGGCTTCCAAGGCAGAGGATGAGCTGCCCCAGGAATGTTTTCTTCCCAGTTTCCATCCAGAACAACTCTTTTTCCCTCTCTCCCAGAGCAAACCTCCACAAAAGGGAGGAAAGCTGGAGAGGGCTGAGCTGAATCCTGTCACCATCTCCGGGGGAGTTTATGGAATAAAATAATCCCAGCTGGATAATTGGACATGTGATGGAGATTGGAGACTGGGGTTCTATTTCTGGAGCACTTATCTTGAAAAAAAAGACATTAAAATGAGGAATAATGAGATCCAAACACTCCCTTTTCTCCAGGCTCACAAGCTCCTCAGAAGTACCAAAATACACCTTGGAGAGACACAGGGATGGAGCTGTGTTCCCAGGAATGTCGCTGGAAAAAAACACTTCCCACACAAAAAACCGGAGCTCGACATTTCCATGGCTCAGAGAGAAACTTCTGAAGCCCAGTCCCCGAAGTTTCCAGGGCAGGAGGATTCCAGAGTTACCTGAGCACCTGCAGGGGCTTGGGAATTTCTCTGCCTTCCCTGGGCTCCTGGAAAATCCCAGCTGGACACTCACCCCATGTCACCCAGGGGTGACACAACCCAAACAAGGAGTTTGTGTGGGATGTCCTGTTGTCCCCTGGTCCCCCAGGGCTGGGACCCCAAACCTTCCTGGGCAGCAGCATCCAAACTATCCAAACTGAGAAGCTGAGAGCAATTCCTGAGCTGCACCTCCCGAAGGATCCCCCTGGGAGCTGGACTGGGGCTCACAGAGGGTGGAACATCTGGGCTGCAACATCTGGCTCCCCATGGGATCCACAGAGGCCTTGGGCAGCTCCAAGGATAAAAGACCTCCAATGTGGATTCCAGGGACAAGGGGAAGGAAAACCCTGAGTCCCTGAGCAGCTCCAAGGAGAATGAGAGATCCCTGTGTGGATTCCAGTTATTCCAGGGGCACAAGGGGATGGAAAAACTGCTCCTACAGCAACAGGAATGGGGTTTGGGGCAGGTATTGGGGAAGTGCTTGGAGAGTCACAAGCCACGGAGTGACTCCAAAATGCTCCTGATTTCCCTGGAATCATTAAGGAACGTGGCAAGAAATGGATATTCCCACTGCAGGCAGAGTGGTCTGGGAGGGCTCTGGGTGGTGATTCCCTGTGGGAGCCCAGGCCTGGAGCAGCTCCAGTGCCCCTGTCCTGCCACAGCTTCCCCTGGCATCTCTGGCCATGGACACAGCTGTGGAGAGCCACAGACACCTGTCAGGGAGGCCCTGGGTGCTCTGTGCCACAATGGAATCAGCAGGCAGGCAAAGGCAGGCAGCTTTGGGAAGCTTTATCCCTATGGAACGTGCTACAGACACTTGTCTGGAGAGGAAAACATTCCCAATGTGCCAAACCAGGAACCACCGCTTCCCTCCAGCCAGGAAAGCAGGGAAGAGGATGGACACAGGAACAGGAAGAGCTGGAGCTGGGTCAGGGAGGGTTAGCTGGGCTATCAGGAAAGGCTCATGCTGGGCACTGGAACAGCTCCCCAGGGAATGGGCACAGCTCCAGAGCCCAGGAATGCCTGGACAACACTGGGATTGCTGGGCTATCTGGGCAGCTGTGAGTCCAGTTCAGGACATCCCCTGATCCTACTGGGAACCCAGCCAGCCCCAGGCAAGGTCCTGCTGTGCCCCCACCATGGGCCAGGGCAGCAAGAGCACCTGGAGCACAGCCTGGATCAGATCCAATGGATCCAACCCCACACAACCCCAGAGAAGGAGAGGCTGTTTCAGCACAGCTGGAACTGCTGTGCCCTCCCTCACCCTCTGCTGCCCACCAAGCCACAGCCAGGCCACTCCCAGGCACAGAGAGTGCATTTATCACAATTAATGCATTTATCAAACTGAAATGTATCAAAATTACCTGTGTTTATCAAAATGAATCCATTTATCTAAATTAATGCATTTATCAGAACTAACACATTTATCAAAATCAACTGTATTTATCAGAATTAATGCAATTATCAGAATTAATGCATTTCTCAGAATGAGCTGCTTCCAACCTAACAGACCCTGGGATAACTCCTGCCCTAATTCCAGGGAATTCTGCAATCCCAGTGGTTTCCCAGCCCCCAGGCCCCCAGGAGCTGCTGCTGGCTGAGCACACCCAGGGATGACCCCAAAGTGTCACCAAGCATTGCTGAAGGAAACTCCTGATCCTGAGTCAGGTGCACAAACCCAGGGACTCAGGTAAAAAACATGAGGAAATCCACGGAAGAGTATGAGGAGAAATCTCAGAGTCTTAGAACTGAGTAAAATCTCTGTGGATGCAGCAGATGCTGACTGGGCTGGGCTGCAGCTCATCCTCTGTGATTGGAGCAGGCTGGACTGAGGATCCAATTCCTACAAACCTGCCCAATCCCTGGATCTGCTCCAGCCTTTCCTGGTGCTTTTATCACTGAATGCCTTCGACACTGAGGGGAAAATGGGAACCTGAGTGGGTTAAACCTTCCCCCCATGGCTGCAGGAGGATCCCATGGGAGCCTTTATCTGCTTTTCTGAGTGATCCCACCCAGATCCTGCTCTGGGTCTGATCCCAGATCACGGACAGAGATCCTCCTGTGACACTGGAGTGNCCCAGCCAGCCATGCCAGGATTCTGCGCTCACCTGTCTCTCGTGGCCGTTTCTGTGGCAGTTGTGACAGCAGTGGCCACTCTCTGGTGCCCGTCCGTGTGCGTGGCCGCGCTGTTCCGGGCACGGGGGGCACCGGAGTCGCCCGCGGGAAGCATCTCCGGAGCCTTTCCGTCAGAGCCACTGTGGGACAGGGCAGGGACACGTCAGTCAGCTCAGCCCAGGGCAAAAGCAGACTCACGCTGGAATGGGGCTCAAATTCCAATGGGCAAAACAAAATTCCTCCTGCTCTCCTCACACAGGCCTAAAGATCCCATCGGGAATGAGAACTGGCAACAAGCTGGGATTCAAATCAGCGGGCACATCCTGGAGGCTCCGGGTCCCAAACCCAACAGGACACACCAGAACAGCTCCTCGAGGGAGGCATTCCCAACTCCTGCTGCAAATGCAGTCTGACAGCTCCCAAAGCACCATTCCCACTGCCACTGCTGGGCATGGACAC